ATTATTGAAAAATGCGGTAAATTGGACGGTAAATTGAATAGCGAGCTACGAAATCTGATATCGCCGATTCAGATCGAATAGCGAGCTACTGTTTTTTTAAAATAAAAATGAAATATTTATCAATTGCTACGGTCGCTAATTCTCAGAATGGTTATCTGATTCCAATTGAATAATTGCATTTATATGCTGGTAATTGAAGAGCTATCACAGCCATAAATCATGGCAATTTGCTACGCAAATTACGCAGATATGATCACGGCAGATATGAATGTTGCCTACTAATTACATTTGCAACATTAAAAATTATACATAATAATATATATATATATATATATATATATATATATATATATACATATTTAGAATATTAAGCGAAGTCTTGTGATATCGCTGAGGTAAATTAGTTAGATGAGTTAGAGAAGATGTAATGGCCTGTTTTACATCAGCATAATTAACATATTTATTACGCATGTTGACATACAATTAATGCACATTAAAACAATTTTTGAAGATGCGTTTCAATTTGCAATCTAAACGGGAATATTAATGCGATAATAACAACAATCCGTTTACCAATTTGCGTTTAGCAGCTTAGAACGCAGGAGGAAACTCGTTTAAGCGTTTCTCCAAGAAGAACTATTTTCTCATTTCGTTTATCGTCAATTTGCTCTTTCTTCCCAAAGTTTCTCCCCCAGGTTTTAGTATAATTTTCTGCCACGCTATATTCGCAACGACACTTCTAGACAACTGACCGTCGATTTCTCGAAGGGAGGAAAGTTTTGCATTTCTAAAAAGGGATTCGCACCTTCCAAGCGAGATATATTTACTCTCGTAATAAGACTCTTGTATTAGGACTTGCAAAATTTTTTCATAAAAGATCGAGTTTAAGTATTTATTCAGGCAGTTCGCCGACAGATTTACGATTATTATATTTGCAAATCGTTAAACTGTCCGGTTGTCGCGAGATTCATTATATTTGCTATAGCTCTCTCTCTCTCTC